TTTCATGGCAATCGCAAGAAATTTACATTGTTTGCAAAAAATTGATATTTTGTTTACGTAAACATGCTGCTTGGGTACTATTAACCATTTCTATATTCTATTATGTTTCCGTTTACTATTCTATTCCTAGGACTCTATTCAACCATCTACTACAATATATCAACGATTTTCGTGGGTTGTAAAATGAAATAGTTCATTATGATACAAGATGCGCTACTGATGTATTTTCGGAGTTGATCGGATGTTGTTTTAAATTGTTATATTCTATGTTACAACTATTTTTGCAAGGATACAGTGATTTTCGTTGCATAAGGCATTCGCGATTGATGGGGAGCTCATGAAGAGTTCGTTGAGTGTAACGGATGGCTTGAGGATTGCTTTTTCCCGACTAGGATTGCATTTTTAACCGTGCACTTCAATATCACGGTGATTTTTTGTGGGTTGCCAAATGAAATAGTCCTTTATGTTGCAAGATTCGCTCTTGATATATTTTCATTGTCGATTGGGTGTTTTGAAAATTGCTGTTTTCCGTGTTAATTCTCTAATTGTGCACTGTATCCTTGCAAACAAGTTTTGCAAGGATACAGTGATTTTCATGGAAAGGAGAACTGAAATGGCATTGTGATTCATCGTTCGTTCACGATAAGTTTGAGGAGTTAATTGTATGACTTGAGAATTGCTATTTTCTCATTACGAGTTCTTTATCAACCATCTCCTTCCGCAATAGTAATATCTACTCCACAGGGACTGGACACTTCTATTGCGATGTACGTGTCGTGTGCAATTTTTTTTTAATCGAGCTGATATTTTTTAAAAATTGCTGTTTTATTGCTTGGACCCAGAATCCTAGGCTTTTGTGCAATGTTTCAGCGATCCCAGTGGAAAGGGGAGCTGATACATCTTGTGCACCGCCAACAATATGGAGGTATATGGTTTATTTGTGGTGTATTTTCTGTGTAAGTCCCATTACTGTGAAGTTGTAATATTTCTGCATGTATTTGCCTTCCTCAACAAAAGTTGCTTGTCTGTAAGAAATAGCAATCCCTCCTTCTTCCTCCTCTTTCCTAGTTCCACTTTATTCAAATGTGATGCTTCTTCATATTTGTTTGGATGTCGGTAGCGTTTCTTTCCCTTGCAGGATTCGATTTCTTAGCTTATTTCTAATTGTTTCAGTAATTTCTGAAAATTTTGAAACTAGCGCGTCCATTCATACCTTTTCATGTGATGCATTTTCAGAATTGGTTTGAACTCTCCATAATCGCTGCTTTCATTCTAGGTTTCCTGAATCTTCCCTCAGCTTCGTTTAACAATTTCGTTATGGAAAAAGTGACCTGGCCAAGTTGATGCAAGGCTTCAGAGTGGAGTATTTTTCAAGTCTTTTTTCTGGGTATATTCTTTTTTCCGGGTAGGACTCGTTATCAAAGTTAGGTAAGCACCTCCTCAACATTCTTCTTGACACAAGAAATGACCCGATCATACAGTGTTTCCGGAATGACTTTAACCCCCATTAACATGGGCTTCATACTTTTCTATGGACCCTACTGGCGGCTTGGCAAAATAGTACTTCTATCACTTTCAACAGATTTCTTACAAGCAATAGAGGCCTAATCGAGTCGTCAATTAACTCCTCCTTTAACTGTAATTTCTTGCAGGTTCATGGAAGATGTCACAGGACCCTTCAAGGATGTGACGCACATTGAGCCGGTGACCGTAGATGTCATAAAGAGATGCACAGTCACAATGAAAGTTTCGGGTGAGATTTATTCTTCCCGAACAAACCGACAGTGCAAGAGAAACGGTGTGATTCAAAAGTTTTTCCTACTTTAAAAATACTAAGCATTTTTTTGCTAAGGAGACAATTATAGTTTGTTCACGGCTGACATTAAAAAATCTTGATATTATCGATATTAATCAATTCTCAGTTACTGGTAAGTTGACGAACATAAAATGAAGGAAGTGGCTGAGGGAACAGATTTTACTTACATGGGTGAACCCCCTCATAACCTGCATATTCGCAAAAAATATATGTTAGAGAAATCGTTTGTACGGTAAGAGAATAACAATCAATGCAGTCATGTTTTTCTTGCACTCATAAAATATTCCTATCCTTGAAAATGTCCCGATGAAGTCGTGGACCATCTTCCGAGAGAGAGAGAGAGAGAGAGACAATCATTTGTGTCATTACAAGCACCTCTTTGATTACTTGTTTTTTTTATGTCCAGTGGTGCCAGATGGTACAGTTTTGGCCCGAGTCGATATGAATTCCATCTACGTTTCAGATTTATATGTCTTACAGGGCACCAAAGATCTTTGGTACGGTCCTGCACTTACTCCAGTGCTTGCAAGCCCAAGAATAACTGTATAACCTCCCCCCCTCTGATTCTTTATGTCTGATGGAACTTCCTCTTCACACTTCCTCTTGTTAGACATTCACGTATCGACATCGAAGCTTTAACCCTCTGACCGATGCAAATATCTCAATTGCAAAAGCAACAGGAGAAAAAAAAAATCTCCTATCCATCAGATTTGCATTTTGAGTGCTAGAGCTGAACAGACATTCAAGTTCCAGCGATCTGAAATCAATACAGCTCACTGGCAAAAGCTCTGACGGCTCAGATAGGGCAAATATTGTGCTCCTAAACACGTGAATAACAATTTGAATAAAAGATATTTCAAGTGGTTATGAGCCCGTATCTGCACTTACCCTACACTTACTCTACCTTGAGAACAATTGTCCTTCACTGGGGTCTCTGGCAAATCAAACTTAGTGCTGGCCAAGAATGACCTATATATAAATCAGTAATTTGGTTTAGGCTTCCAAATTCCTGTTGATCCCGAATGGAACACAGAAATGAATTCCAAGATGGCCCTACCCATGAAAACCGAGTGTTAATCCATTGATGAAGCCCGTGTCAGCTGAAGTCATAGAGTGTGGTTCACAGAATCTTAGCCAAGACTAGGTAGGACCTTGGGTATTCAGGGTCTCTCACCAGTCTGCGTTCCCGCGATGCGTGACGATACCTTGGACACCGATTATGTTGAATTCGGAACCCCACTGGAACCATATGAAGACGGTGAGTCAGTAAAGCGCGATAAATAACGGTTACGCGCGTACCCCCTAGAGAAATTGCACTCCCCAATCTCTAATGTTTCTATATTAATTCAACTGGAAACATATTACATCCATATGGATTACTTTTACTTATACACCAACCTAATCAACCTAACCTGGCCTAACTTCATGGACAACACAATATCCCTAGGGGGTACGCACTTAACTATAACCCGATGCATTGGCCTAAGGGTACTGTGGTCTGCAAGTGAATTAGAAACACCACCTCGTGAGGGTAGATCTCTCATGGTAGAAATGGCATAGGTATATGGACCCTACGGCAAAGGATGCATGAATCTATTCCCACATCACTTTCTTACCTTTGAAATTGTGCTGTATTATTTTGCTGGTTCATCAAAGGAGTCGAGGCCATAACTCTAGTGGTAGCGATCACATGAAGTCTGTAATGCCCACGTTGGTAGGAATCAATTTTCAGATCAGTGAAACCTACCTTGTGATAGTTTCATGCTAGTAGCTAACGTTATTTGATTTAATGCTCTAATTTGCCCAGAAATATTCCCTTGAGATGTTTCATTGCAGCAACAGAACAAAGGGCATGGATTCTAGTATGGGAGTACATCTAATGATCATTCACACCCACCAGATTCAAGAAATGATCCAACATGCCCTGAGGATCAACTGAGGCTTTGATGTAACTTTTGCCCTGGGTGCATGTTTTGTTCTGATGTACTCATTAATGGCTTGTAACTTGGCCACTGCAACATAATTTATCTCCTGGGAAGAGGAGATTCTTTTGTGGGCTTAACTATTAGCATGGGAACATGCTAATTATTAAGTTATGCATGTCCCCTTGTTCCCATGCCAAGGTGTCTTATAACTTAAGGAGGAATAGATATGCCTAACATTACATGTTAGAGAGCCTAACCCTGTCTCTATGATAACTGTAAGCCTCTCCACATACCTTCCAATCTTTATATTCTAGTGTTTGCCCTATTAGGAGCCTGGCCCAAGCATGCATAATGAATGATCTTCAATTAAGACTACAGTTTTAAAAATAATCTCATGTAGGCCCTTGTAAAACTATCTGTTCAGAGGACATAAGTGTGAAATTAAGTTCCTGAAAGCAATATTTGGCCATGTTGCCCAATCACTAACATTCAACATTCATATCATTGAATTGAGATCGTAAGCCTTTGTTAAGGGCTGTTCCAAAGTCTATAAGGGGTGCCACAAGGATGAAGTTACCAGTTAGGCCTAACTACAATCCTGCCTGTCCTTAGAAATCCTTCGAGGAGCTTGTGGTCTCATGCTCTTATGGGGTAGGATACAGTCATTATAGACCATGCCCCATTATAACTGATGAATGTATTCATAGGCTTCAGGATTTTTACCCCCTAGTTTTTACAAGCTATGTAGAACATAATCATGCAATGTATAGCTTGTGAAATGCCAGTGAGGTTTCCCTTATGCCAATAACATCAGTAATCAACTTAAATATGCAGCAAATGCTCTGTGGAGTTTTTCAAGCAGAAATGATGAATGTCATTGTACTATTGATGCCTTATCCTTTCCCAGCCACTTTTTCTACTTCTAAATAACCTTTAAACAATGTTTTCTTATCCAGTTGTCTTTACTCGTTCTTGAAAATCATGATTTGGCACCTGGTGAAAAATAATATCCATTTCTCCTGACACTGTTCATATTTGATTGTGCAATTTAAGTCCATCTTTTATTTTTTGCATACAAAGCCTAGGAAAGTCAGGAATTGTAGGATAGTGTATGGAGTATTTCCTGCCTAAGCCACTTGGAGCTCACCCTTGTACCTGACAGGATATAGTTATTCCATAGTTGTCTTGACAGATTCTGGTCCAAGTGACAGAGTGATTCATATTGACCAGTTGACCCCTAATTGTCTTACCTACATGCCACAGGTTTTCAATGGAAATCAGTATCCTATTAACCCTGTGTCAGTTAATAATAATAAAATTTTTCCCCCTCCTTCCCCAACCCCCACCTCTCAGCCCACGCAAACCACACAACGGAAAAGACATTATAAAATATGCTATTTTTTTGTTTATATTCTGAGGCACCATCTTCATTTTCTGAGGCACTGTCATCATTTTCCAAATTTTTATTTTCATATGCTTTGGAAAATTGCTCTTCTTCCTTCATCACTCGATTATTTTTTATCGCAGCCATGTGGGCTGCTCACCTTTCCCAACTCTTCTCAGGTGAGTCTTTTGATATCTGTGATTGTAAAATTTTGGTTTCAGCAATGAATTGCTGTCTTGAATTTTGGAAAACGATGACAGCACCTCAGAAAATGAAGATGGTGACTCAGAATATAAACAAAAAATATAGCATTTTTTATTGTCATTTCCATTGTGTGGTTTGCTTGGGCCGAGAGGTGGGGATTGGGGAAGGAGAGGGGAAAAAAAAAAGTTTTTCTTAACTGAGACAGAGTTAAGCAGCCTGGTGAGTTTCAAGCAGTCCAGACAGGAAGTAATCCATACACTATATTCCTCTGACTCTTTAATTTTTTTTTGTTACTTTTGTACATCTCTCCAGCTCAAAATTTGATTTTGAATTTTCTTCATCAGTATGTTGAAAATGAAAAAATGTCATTGAGCAGCAATATGTATGTGAATCTCTTGTTTTATGTCCATTGGATTGCAGATGCTCCCATCAAGTTGAAGCCCAAAAACATTGAAGACCAAGTGGTGACAGATGACCAGGGAAGACGAAGATTCCATGGTGCCTTCACTGGAGGCTTTTCAGCTGGATACTTTAATTCAGTTGGGTCCAAAGAGGGATGGGCACCTTCATCCTTCACATCTTCTCGAGAGAAGAAAGCAGAGAAAAGGATGCAAAAGCCAGAAGACTTCATGGATGAAACTGTAAGAATTTGAATGGTTTGATGCAAATGTTAAGACTTTTTCATCAGCATTTTTCTGTTCCTTCATTTATAGGACTTCAGTGTATTTGGGATTGCTCCAAGAGTTTTGCGACCAAAAGATGCAGCTACCCAAGAATCGTCACGAAAGCGTCCTCATGTCAGCTATAGAGAAAGTCCTATCCCTGGAATTCCTGCATTAGCAGATTTGCTTAAACCTGCTAAGTAAGTTTCTTTCATTGGCTATTGGAAGACATGTGGTTTCTCTCCTGATTCATTCTGTCTGGTCATTTAGGGAGAGCATTGGAATGAAGTTATTGAAAAAGTTGGGCTGGAAATTGGGACAAGGCATTGGCCCAAGGCTGACACACAAGCAGAAGGCTGCAGAAAGAAAAAGGCAGACATATGGATGTGCTCTTCCCCATGGACAAGCACCCAAATCTGTGGCTGCTGAATCTAGCAGTGAAGACGAGAGTGATGACCCTGAAACTACTTTTGCACCTGATGATTTGGATCCCATGCTACTTAATGCAAAGGCTGACTGCTTTGGCCTTGGTTACCAAGGGCTAGAAAGGCACTCTGTTCTGTCATGCTATGCTGATGTTTCCAGGTCATCGTTGAAACTCATTGACAAGAAGAAGAAAGTGGCCATTCAAGGCCAAGCATTTGGAGTGGGAGCATTTGAAGAAGAAGATGAAGATATATATGCACTGGAAGACATGAGTCGGTATGACTTCATGACCGGAAATGAGGAAACGCCCATCAAGGCTCCTGCAGTTGGAAGTGGAAGAGACTTGAACTCCATTGATGGATTCATTCCCAGTCAGAAACATATGCCACCTGTCAGATTTTATCCTCCACCTGTACTTCCTCGAGATTTCATTCCTGTGCATCATCCTAGTGAGACAGAGAAGCAGTCCATCAGGTTCTCCCTGTCAAGAGGCAAAGATTCTTCCAAAGAGAGGAAAGCCATGTTGGGTCAGGATCAGGAAAAATTGACAAAAACAGATAAGAAGATTCTAGTCAGTAATGCACTGCAGAAGATCAGAATGGATCTCTCCAAGAAGGAAATCAACAATACTGTAGTCACGGGTGAGTTAAAGCATTCACTATATCTCATTTTAAATTTTCAGCAAGTTGTAGACTCTCATAATCATGGTAAGCATATAATATCTAGTAGGAGTCTGTAATTATTTGTTGCAACTTGTTTTCCATTGACAGGGAAGCAAGAGAACCATGGAAGATTGACAGAATGGGAAGAAGAAGGGAGGAAACTCAATCAGGATGAAGTTTCTGCCTTGGTAGGGCATTTAGCCTCTCGGTTTGTGTCCTCACAGGCATCAATCACCACTGTCAACAAGGTTGAGGAAACAGATGAACAAAAGGCTGCCACAATGAAGCTGTATGGAAAGATGACTCGTCAGAAAGAAGAATGGCATCCTGATGCTGTTCTCTGTAAAAGATTCAACATTGCCAACCCACACCCTGGGTAGGTTTCACATTTACTCAACAACACATTGAATTCTTTAGTATAGTCATTGGTTCATGAACATGTCTTTTTCAGGTCTGAGGAAGTTGGGACTGTGAAACCAAAGCCAGTGGGGGGTTCCATTTTTGCTGTCCTGTCTAATGAATCACATTCACCAGGAAAGTCTGAGGTGCAGGCAATTCAGTCCTTGGCAGTAGAAGAGCCAGTACCAGATCATGACTTGACTAACTATGCAGGGGAAAATGATCCAGAAGTAGATCAAGACATACAAGAACATCAGGAAGACATGTCTCAAGATGCCGTAAGTCTACCACTTGCAGATGCATCATTAGTGATAAAATGGCGTATGGGGAATATCAAACACTGGTATCACATATTCATTTTGCTTTGCAGAGAGCAAATAAAGAGAATGAACGTCCACCAATGGACCTTTTCAAGGCTGTCTTCCAGAGCTCAGATTCAGAAGATGAGGATCCTGAGGAAGCTCCAAGCAATGAGAAAACAGTTGAGCCCCCTTCACAACTGAAAACTGAATTTCCATGCAAGGAAAAGAAAGCCAGCGAAATTGTTGAAATTGCTCCAAGACCCAAGGCTTCTGGGTTATTCTCAGGAATAGACATGGATCTGGTCAATCAAAAATGGCAGGAAAGAAGTGCAATAGTGAAGCCAGTTGTCAAGAAACCTGAAAGGACTGAGATTATACAGAATGACAACAGTTCTGTTACATCCAGAGAGGAGCCTGAAAGTAATCTTGAATTCTATGGACCAGTCCCTCCAATAACTCCTGCATCAACTGCATTGGAAGACAGAGCAGATACAAAAAAGAAGAAGAAAAAACTGAAGCAGAAACACAAACACAAGAGGAAGCATAAGCATGGAGTTAAACATAAAAAGAAGTGATTTCTCATGACTTTGTGATCATTCAACTTTTACCTTTCTTGAAATACATTGACCTCCTCTGTGTCTATATCAATTTGATTGTTAGGAGTCATTAGGCATTTCAGAATTTGTTCCTTTCATTGCATCACATCCTCAAGTTCAGTTTTCCTGACTTGCTTTGAAACCCATAGACTATAGAATTCAATCCAATTTGATCACCCATTGTTCCTAGATAGGGCTATATACAGATTGGGATGTCAGACAGTAGGGGGTTAAGAATCACACAAGCAGGAAGGGCTCCATGTTGGTACTGCTCAGTGGCAGCTTGTGGACATAAAATTGGATGGTTAGCACATAATCATAATTAGCAAGAATTCATTGTTGAGGAGCATGAAGCTTGGAAGGTGCTTTTAGGTTGCACTGTTTGAAGTAGCAGGTAGCTGCAATAAAAGGCTGAGCAAGAAAACAAAAGTAGAGAGAAAATTGAAACTTCCATGGAACTACTAAAGAGTAGAGGCACATCCAATCCAACCAGAAGAGTTTAGGTCTGACGACTTTCTCTCTCTGCAAGTTTCAGAACCTATAAACAAAATCACTTCTAGCTCACCCAGAAAATATAGTAATTATGAAGAATATATTTTTGTCTTTTTCATTCATGAAAACTGCATCGATACAAGTTGGCAAAGTGAATTCAGATGACCAAACAGCTTCCTAATTAAGGCAAAGGAACCTAAAGACTTGTTTGTGCTTGCTTGCAGGCACCTTTTCATATGCAGTGCAACTGGTGGGGCTGGCCTTCCTGTGATTTATACTTCTGTATTGCTTACACCCTTATACATTGTCAATGAGCCAAGGGGAGACCTCTAGTCTCTGGCCAGCAGAGGATAATTTTTGGATTGATGAGTTTCTCATATCTAAAAGTATACAATTTTTACAGCCAAATTCCAGTCAATGGGTCAGCTGCACCAGTCAGTTGCAAAGCAACCAATTCCTAGTTACTTGGCAAATTTAGCTTTTGACATTACCCCTGCAAAGTTTATGTGGCCCCATGATACTTACAAGTGATCCCATGTGGTTTTCATGGGCCCAAAAGCCCCTTTATCTAGAGCATTACCTTTATGAAGCCCTATGCATACATTTTTCTGCAAATTGACTCATATACCAAAGTTAGCAGCAATTAAAATATAGTATGTACAATGTTACTTTTGCCCCATGACCCAACTTTCCATAAGGGAAAAGTAACATTAGACTCAACAAATGATGTGGTAAGGCCTAAGTCCAAATTTTGAGTTCATGAGGCTGATATGAAAATCAGGCAGCAAATGTAACATTTTAAAAACCATTTTTAATGTCATTAGTTGGGATGAAAAATGAAATTGCAACAGAAGATTAAAAATTTTGATTCTAATTTTTTTTTTTTTCACCAGGGTGTGCAAAATTGAAGCAAACATATTCCCAGCCAATCACAGAGAAGCTCAAAATATGTGATACCAAAGGATGAAGAGTAGCATGTTATGGACACAAAATAAGGAATCTGTATCTAATGTACTTGCTAAAAGATTGTTACAATTAGCTCATAGTTACTTTTGCCCCACCTCAACCTTTGAAAATAGATGCCTCACAATATATACTGGATAAGGTGTAGACCAAAAATTATTTTCAGGAATCTTTGTACATTAGTTTTGGAGATACAAGAAATTGAAAGTGGGGGGGGGGGGGGGAAGAGATTTGGCATATTGCCTGTTTTAGAGCCCTCCCTTTATCTCCTTTTTTTCTCAGAAACTATTGAGATACAGGGTGAAATAAGATACCTTATTGCATCACTTGGATGGGAGGAGATAGATATATATATACTTTCAAGAAAAACAAAGACCTGACAGCCCCTGCCTGATTTTAAATGGAACCATCCATCCCAGTTTTCCATCTAGAACAAATTTCCATTTTCCTATCTGAAAAAAAAATCAAGAAAAAAGTTCATCTTTCAACACACACAAATTGTCAGAGATCCATGGGACATCCTGTACGAGGTATAATCACTTCCATATAAGGTCCTAATTAGCTATCCCCTAATGACTGTTCCTCAAGGGTAGACTGAAAAGTTTCTGAAATTCACAAATATTGCACATACAACTGAACTTTAGAGTTCTAGTCCACTTGTACCTTTCCAACATAATGAATCTCAACTAATACTATTGTCCCTCAGTTTCCAAATTTCTGAAGGAAACTAATCTGCAGGAGTAACTTTTTTTTTTCAACTGGCTTAATGCTGATGTAAGGGTAGTCTTTGATCATTATCTCTTTGCATGCAATTCACTTTTAATTTCTGGAAAAGTGAGAGTCAGATGAGGCAATATTTCAACTATTAGCTGTGGATTTTACCAAGCCTGCCTAAGACCAAGGATTGTCCAGATGGAGATTTATGCAGTTTGAGGGTGAGGTTGTGTTGCTCCAGATATGAGGCCACCCCTGCTTTTCCATATGGCTAATTTTATCTCATTCTTCAACAAGACACTGTAATAATATCTGATTGGAAAGAAAGTTCTCGGAATTTCATGAACAATTATTACAACCCAGTTTATTTAAAAGCAAAATCATCTCAATCATGAATGTAATCACCATTGGCCTCTATCACTTCACGCCAACGTTTATGCAAACTATGGATGCCATTCCAATAGAACTCTGGCGGCTGCGCTACGAAAAAGTTGGCCAAATCGGTTTTCAGGTCGTCT